TAAATCTCCATGGGGAAAAATAAATTGCCAATCCGTTCAGGCCATTGATTTTGAAGGGTTCGCATCCTCCAACAAAGAAAGCAAGACGAAGAAGAAAAAGAAGAAGAAGAAGAAGAAGCATTTCACGCGTCTGTCTCTTCGCCCGGCCGCCGTCGGAGTTCGGCATTACACTTTCCAGAGCCGCGGCGAGGGCGTTGGATTGTTCACAGAGCGGGGACAGCTCAAAGTCGAGGATGCCCCTAGGTGTCACCGGAGAGGGTAGACCCCATAGGGGGGAAATGAGGACACACACACACACGAATCTTTTTCAAGCAATCCAACAACCACCTGTGCAGGGGTTCGGATCCTTTGAGCAAGCAAAGGTGATGTTGCTGACCAAACTATGCATATGTATCAACCGATTCCGGATAACTACCACTATAGCAGGCAAAGGAAGCCATAGTATTGTGAATCAACAATTGAAGAGGCAATCCCTGGTTTCCTACTATAGCATCAAAAACATGGAACCCATCTCAGCTTTCCTTTTTGAGGAAAATAGTCCTCTTTCTTCAGGTTGCGAAGGGTGCCTGAAAATGTCCAATTGACTCACTCTTTTCCTTGTTTCACGAAACAGGGTCACTGGTGTCCTTTTGGCTCTGTAAGACCAGGAAGGTGTGTCCCCCAAAAAACCCATCCGCATTTTGGGTTTGCTTAGGGAAGCCGGGGAAAACCCGAATCCATTCCCGGGGTCCCCTAGCTTCACACCTCCGAAATCCGGCCTCCACTCGATCGGATCACCTGGCATAGGCCAGTTCAGGAGGCTGTTCGCTTCTTACCCGGCTGAGGGTTTGTAGGGCCAAAACCAGTCCGCCCAATACTTTAGTATAGTACAACCAATAGACAACAGACTAAGCCATTGTCTCTTTTGTGAATGTTCCCAAAGGGCATACCAGATTTGGGTGAACGCCAGGTCCTCCCCAAACTAATTGTGTTGCTTGCTCGTTGGACGAGGTTGCCATGGTGCCAAAAGGTTACAGGGTCATCTCAAGGTCAGACCAAGGCGCTTGAATTTGCAGCTGCCAAAAACGCACATATTTCTTGTCAACCAAACCTACCCTGGTCAAATCAAGAAGCAACCAAAAGCAGTTGCCAAGGTAGGAAAACCTGTGAGATTCTCTTCTGGGTGGATTGGCCAAAAAATGTCTAAACTCTGTGCGGAATTCGCGGAGTGAGTAAATGACCAGCCATGTGCTTTAAGTTTACAAATCCAATGGTTGGTCTCCTTGGTTACCTACCATACAGGTACCTGGAGCCGCCGGCTCCCATGGCCTGTTTGCTGGAGTTCGCGGGTGCGCCAAAAGGTGATGGTTTGGTGGGATGTGTCAATCCAAGTCTAAATACAAAGTTAATAGTTTAAAGAAGTGTTGGCAATTAGCTGATAGAAAAGCACCCTCGGGGGAAACGGGCACTGGATGGGATGGTCTCAGGTTAGGCATGTTTACAAGGGGTGAATAGCTACGAAGTTCTCTGAGGCGGTTACTCACCTCGTTCATTTTATAGAGAAACTCCCCAGTCTAAATTTGGCCCCGTGTCATTTTGGTACATTGAAGTGGCCGCCCCTCTCATCAGGCTCCCTACCAAATACCCAAAGACCAAAAGGCCAGCCCAAGCCAGGCGTACTTTGATTGCCTTCTTCGTATGGGCTAACTCCGAAATTCATAGAACATTGGCAACGGAAGGAAACCAATGCTAATGGGCACATTGCCAAAATCAATCTTTGGCGATTCCCAAAAAAACACATCGGGGAAGAGAATGGAGAATTAGGCAGAACCCCAACACTCCCGAATCCCACAACTTGATTGACCCTACGTTTTTCCCAACAAATGGGTAGAATGTTACAGGCATGGCTGTCCTGTGGCGATCAAACGTCTTTGGACCCCATTGAGTCCGGGTCCCAGCCATCGACTCGCCGCAGACGCCTGCTGCTTGCATGGCTCGCTCCAGCACATCTATGGCGCAGTTCAGGAGATCTGCCTGGCAGACCGCCGAATGGGTCCAGCGCTACCCAAGGAAACCAGCCCGAAGCTGAAAGGGACATGGCTGGTTAGGGCAATGGATCCAAGAAACTAGTTCAGCCTGAAGTGACTCAAACTAAGAAGATCGATGGCAGGATGGGGTTCACACATCACTCACAGCGCTCATCTTGTGGATTGGAAACTGGTCTACGTGAAACACTCCTGGTCCAATCATTCCACTCTGCACTTTTTTGTGAGCGAACCCTTCCTCTTGGCTCAACTCGTTGGGTCTCCCTTACTTGAGTGGCCAATGACAAAAGGACACTGTTTGCTTCCCAGACAAGTGGACTTCCACCACTGCATCCTTTTGTTGGTAGTTGAGTTTAAAGAAAAACCTCTGCAAACAAGAGGTGAAACAGGGATCGACAAGTTTATTGGAGGTCTGTGGTTGTGAATGCAAACCAAGGGGTACCAAGCATTCTGTCAGCACAGAGCAGGGGAATGGGGAGGGTCCGGTAGCTGGGGGTCTAGAGGGTTCCCATTCTGAGCCCAAGTGCAGGCGCCCGAAAAGAGCCATTGTCCAAAAACGAAGTGGGGACATCAACCCGAGGGAGCCCCTAAAACGGGTTGGCTTGCTTGGGCTTGGTGTTTTATTCAGTCGGCATCGAACGGCCAACGTGTTCCCAAGTCTTGCTGGCAAATACGACATGGAAGATACAACGCTATCCATCTGTTGGTTCCTCAAAAACCGACTTTGGGCGGGGTTCCTTCTTTGAAAGCCATCCCATCCCTCAAAGGGTTCCGCAGGCCTGGAACCTCCCTCCAGAAAGCTGCCCTACCAACCCAAACGGGTTGACCATGTAGCTGTGGCTGTTGGGCAAAATATATAACACTGTCTTTAGCGCTTCGTTTCATTGATGCCCTGCTAAAAGTTTGACTTTTTGTGGGATATGTCATACATCCCTCTAAATGTGAAACAAGTCTACCTGGAGTCTCCATGACCCTTTTCACATGGGGGTAGCCGTTTTTTGGTCGTCATAGTGCCCCATTGGCTCGCAGAGATAGATACAGGCCGAGAAACCACATGGGATCCGCTACCGTCTGTGTGCGTGTGCGGGAAACCCCTCCAAAGGAAACAAAAACACACCACCGGAGCTCTGGGGACCCGATCTCCTGCCTCCCAGGTCTCAAAGTGCTCATCCAGGGCATAGGCTGGATGCTCATCGCCACTGAGCATGGCAAAGGCCGGGTGTTCATCGCTACCTCGGACGAAAACGCTCGACCGAATTGGACACCCCGGGGAAAAACGCAAGGACCCAAAAAAAGTATTCGAACTGCTTGACACCCTACACCCTATTTGCTATGAGCCTTTGCCCTCAAAGGTCTAGCACGTTACGTTCTACAGTTATCCTAGCAGTTGTAACGTGATTCGCAGCAGCATCTTGTAAGGAGACTGGAACCCAGGATCTTTCTTCGCAAGAAGATGTAACCGGGGCAAAAAAGAATCGGAATGACCAAACGAGCTGCAACTGCGACACTTCTGGCGGACAAGCGCAATTATTTTGAAAACAACACCCGCAAATAACAGAGTTTGTGGCAGCAACAGTTTAACCCAGATTGGGACTGTCTCAGAAGAAACGAGAAGGAAACCGAAAACTAACAACACAAATGAAACTAAGCGTATTTCCCGACAGAAATACCAACCATGGGCAAAGCCCTGGGTTCAGAGCCAAGCAACCGAAGGAGAGGGATCCAAAACTCAACCTTGTCGGCACCCACGAAATTCGGCGGTTTGGAGGTTGGGGGATGGTTTCCCGTTTACCCTCTACAAGAACTAGAGGTTCAAATCCCCCAACCACCAACTAAGGGATACCAACTAGATCAATAAGCATAAAAACAAAGCTGGACCTGGAGTCTGCGTGTTGAACTAACGGCTAGCACAAGATCTCTTGAATTCGGGACACTGCCGAGCAGTTAGCATAACTCAGATTCCAGATAGTATTGTAGGCCCATTCTCACACAGTCATTGCTTGACCATCCCAGACCCTCAGAGTCCATGGGAGAAAAGGCACATGTTTTGTTGGTACGTAGTAAATTTGAAAAGACATCCCCTTCCAAACAGAGGGGAACCACTGGGTCTGGGCCATCGAACAGGTAGCAATTGACAAAGGGCACCTTAGGCAAAGAGCACTCTAGCAGCCAAACCGAAAGCGCCGGGCTTTCCTGCAAGCGCCGGGCTTTCCTGCAAGCGCCGGGCTTTCCTGCAAGCGACTCTTGTTGTTGGTGAATGGGCCAAACCTTGGGGTACCAGACTAAATATGTTCAATCTAACATGGAACCCAACTGAAGGTTCCCTCAAGACCAGTTTCCTCTAAAAGGACACTCCACGAACATGGAAGCTGAGTGGAGAGTCTTCAAAGACCATTCGCCTCTTTAGACCTAAAAGGGACAGGCGCGAACATGGAACAGTCCTGGATCACAAGTTTCCTCCAGAGGAGATGCTCCCGGCTGCTCCACAAACATGGAGCCCCACCAGACATTCCTGTCTGCAGCTGAGACACCGAAGTCGGGGATCGACTGCGAGATCTGACCCTGGCCGGTTGGAGACTAATGAAGGCAAGGGGACGGCCACTGCACTACCTGTCCACCACCCTGAAAACATGGGGTCATGTGACAGTTTGGTGTGTAATTACAGCTGTTTTCGACAATTCTGGTGTCCCCGCAATTTGACACGCGCACAGACACACACAGACACACAAACACACAGCCACACAGACACAGAGACACAGAGACACAGAGACACAGAGACACAGAGACACAGAGACACAAAGACACAGAGACACAGATACACAGAGACACAGAGACACAGAGACAGAGACACAGAGACAAAGAGACACAGAGACACAGAGACACAGAGACACAAAGACACACACACACACATATGCCCAAAGTCGAGAGGCACATCAACGTGTATCCGGTACTTTAAATTCATATCAGACATGTCTTCTCAATCCAGCGCAAAATATTTATGTTCATCTCGTAACGGCACTGCGTTTGTCTCAACTATCTCAGCGCTCAGCTGCTTCATTTGGCTCATCTGGCATCACTGCATCCGTCATCCATCCAGCGCCATCTCCAGAATCAGATAGCTGCCAAAGAAAGACGCTCTGCCGATTGCCGGTCCACTGATTTGTACGTATTTCAACTCGCACGACATACTCCGCTTCGCCTACCTGCAGCGCAGAAAGCACAGTGAAGCTTTGCGAGTTCAAGAGCTCAGGATAGCCAGCATGAATCATATGGGCAAATCGGGGCAATGGCCCGGTCACAGCCTTGTTTCCTCTGGAGGCAAATTCGAAGGTTTTGGCGATGCCATCGTTGGTTTCCGGATTGTTCTGTTGTAAAGCCGTCAATTGCAGCAGGACCACGTCCACCGCGTTGCGGACCGTCGCCGGCTGGGGCATCGCGGATCTCCATGAATCTGAAATCAGGGCGGTCCGCAGTCCGAGGCGCAGGAGCAACGTCAACAAACCGACTTTGACCAATGGCGCAAGGCGCGACATGGCAGCAACACCAGTGAGAGTGGCAGGGATTTCGGCAGGTTTCAAGCTGGCAGTGAACAACGCACTTATTTGTGGTTGCAAAACCAACCAAGGTATGCTATCCGCAAAAGGCATAATTGTCAAGTACCCAAGTTTGTGAAGGTGCCAAACAAAAGGCAAGCGCAGTTGAAGAAAAAAGACATCCCAATCAAGCGGTGGAACTCATCTGCAGATTCAGCCAGTTTCTTTGAACTTTAGCCAAACCTCAATTATTTCCCAAAGGCTAACTACAAATGGATGGTTTACCACCGAAAAAATCAACAACTTGGATGATGTGGGGGCCGACCAACCTTGAGAAACACCCATGTAGCAAGAAGCTACAGTGTACATGACTGCTCCACAACCCTTCCTGAGCCTTCCTGCAAGGACTACTGCGCAACTTCCATCTGAGCCGCAAACGCAACTCAAACATGCGCCAAATCTTGACAACAGGAGAGTCGAATGAGGCGGGACCGATTCTGTATCTAACAGGGGTATATACTCCAGAATTGGACATGCTCATACATATTACCCCAATCTGGTTACATGTTCAGAACATCAAAGATTCACAGGGTGCTTATGTATTTTATCTATCTATATACATTTATTTGCAATATTTACACATAATAGTCTGGGTGCGCCAGGGACGCTGTGGACGGCGACAGCTCGTCCCATCTCATTGGCAAACCAGTGTACGATACTCATATCCAAGAAGGTAGCAGAACCTGGCAACACAACAAATTAAAGATGACACTGTTCATGGTTACTGCAATTATGGGAAGTAGAAGTAAAGCAAGGCAGCCAAAACACTCACCGACTTGTCCATATGCCCTTACTGAGAAATTGACAAATGGGTGCGAGGGATAATTGTAGCTATGTATGTACATATATACATATATTATGCGCAAGATTGCATATATGTACAGGATATGCAATATGCATGACAAATCTGTAGATTTCACTGGGAAGCCCAAATCCGATCGTGTGTATATCTATATATTATATATATATCCTGCGTAATGCATATTATATATGTATATGTACAGCCTGTATGTAGCATGTACACATATATTATATAATACAATACATTTGCACGCATTAGAGTATCTAATGGAGTGTTTCCCCTTACCCAGGGTAATCAAAATTGTCTCTGGCATCTTCTGGCAGGTGGTCATGCACAAAATCAATTTGACTGAGAAGGGCACAGGAAGCATAAAGGAACCTGCCAATAAACCGCGGAAACGATGAACAGGGGGGCTTCTTGCGCTCCTGTGAATTGGGTTGGTTTGGGCTGATTTCTACTCAGCTTCATCTACCGAAAAGACTTTGCACGGTACGCCGGAATCTTTGCGCAGATTCATCAGTCTTCCAGGCCATTTGGAAAAAGGACGCCGTTCACTTGTTGGTTAATGTTCAACCTCAGTAGACCTCTCGTGGGGTCTGTGGGAAAAGGCATCTATTTTTGGTATAGTTGGAATTTCAATTGGCAACTCCCTCACGGGGGCAACCCCCTCGGAAAGCTGGACAAAAGGAAAGCACTCAATGTGAATATTTCAATGCTCGTAGTTTGTGTCCTGTTGTGAGGATAGCAACTCTGCTAATATTTGTTGGCTGAGTCAGGGACCCAATCCAAAAAATAAGAAAACGCCATGTCGTCACATGGCCAGCGGAACTGTGGACTGAGAAATGGGCATGTGCCATGGTCAAACATCCAAAGTGGAGCACGGTCATTGTTCCCGTAGGAATTCCTGTGGTTGCCTCATGGCCCCCACCAAAACTCAAGCACAGGAACCGGTCTTTTGAGCATGGCACTGGGAAGTCGCAAGGCCCTGCAAGTTGATGGAAATTACTCTGCGAATTAGCAAGAGGGACTGAAAAAAGACCTGAGCACCTCACTGGTCGCCTCGCATTGCTGTGTGCGTGTGTTTGTTTGGGGAAGCCTGGTCAAGGTGGAGACTGCATTGCACGATTCGGGTTCCTCCCAACAAATGACCCAACAAGTGATGTTGAAACCACACAAAAGGGCTGATATTGCCAGAATTCAGTGGCCGCTTTCATGACATGCAAGCAAACGGGCTCAATTCAAGTGACCACATCTTGGTTGAGAGGATATTTGTGGTCGATCCAAATGTTCGTCCACTGTTGGGGGCAAGGTCTGAGGAAAAAAACCAACGACCCGTTTTCAATCAACGGCCTCGTCAGTGGTCGCAGTCGAGGCAGTGGACGGCTGGCCTAAAAAAAAAGGTTTAGGAAGCATCCAAAAATGAGGATGGGCTATTTATGTTTGCCTTTGGAAAACGCTACTGACCAGCCTCTTATATGGTTCTCTCCATTTTCCAGAACAGGTTTTCGGGTATCTTAACAGCTTACGAAAGCGACAGGGGTTACTTGTCGGTGGCATCTGACTATCTCATCCAAGGATCTATGACCATCCCTACTGTGGATGAAGATGTGTTGAAAAGAGAACTGGGAGAAAGCACCTATCCTGGTGCTGCGCACTGGTGCAGGATTTGTCCATTCACAGTAGTGAACCCCAAGTGAGCGATCGGTCTTTTGATCTTGGTGAGTCTGGCAACCCTTATCCTCTTGATTCAAGCTTCACAATCTTTGGAGTATACGACCGCTCTTGAGTGAGCTCATCGAACGCAAAGATTTGGGCCTTAATCAAAAAAGGAAGCCTGAAGGCTCTCAATACAGGGGACAGTCCGTGTTGTTCAAGGGACAACTCTGAAAATTGCTTGCATGACCCGACACGGAACGAAAATGAAAGCTGGAGAAGAGACCAATGGGCCTATGGGCTGAGGCAGCGTGCAGGAAGGGTGTGGCTTCGGGTCTTCCGAAAGGCCCCTTTGACCCAGAAAGGTTGCCCCGATCCTCGTGTGCCCCATGCTCGACAGAGTCCTACCAGAGTTGTTCAACTTGGATGTTTCAACGGGAACATGAAACCCATTTGACACCTGGCCGCAGAAATGAACCACCCTGAAGGCGACTTGAACACAAGGAGTCGGCCCAGCAATGCCGCTAGGTTTGCCCAGCAATCGTCCCGGGTTTCCTGCAAGAAAAGCAACAATTGTTGTTTTGCGGATCTTTAGATGGTCATAGTAGGGATGGCCCTAGATCCCCTCGGTGCTTTGTCCCGCGATCTATGGCATTGCCAGGGCGCGTGCCCAACAGGTGGGCTCCATGGCGCGGCACCAGCTCCAAGCCCTCTTGAGCCAACCCGGGTTATATTGCGCTCCCTTGGAGGCATCCCAATGATTCCCAAAACTTTCCAGCCAGCCAGCCAGCCAGGCAAGAAGCAAGCAAAGAAACAGGCAAGCAAACCAACACATGTGTGTTGATCAGGGGGGTTCCAAAGATCGGTCCGGGAAGGTGAGAGGACTGGACACCAGAATGCTACCCTTTTGGCCATTGTTTGAGGGTTCGGAGCAACCCTGCCACACAAAGCGTGAGGCATTTTGGACCCTGCAAAACAATCATGTCATTTGGGCAACTACAATAATTGAGCAACCGAACACAGGCATCCCTATGAAAGGACCCTTCATATCATGGGTGACGTCGCAACCCCCGGGCCCCCAGTGATGTGGCTAGATTACAACACGTGCCCAGAATCACAAATGGAGATCACCCAATCGTTGGCTGACCCCAGTTCGCTTCACTTGCTCGCTCAAAGCAGCCATGCTTGTTTGGACTATTGACCATTGATTGTCCTTCAAGACTGCTTTTGTTGGATAATCAATCAGGTCTCCCTCAAAACAACAACACAGATTCATCAAGGTGGGCCTTGCTTTTCCTAGGCGAGAGAAAGGCCAGGACACAGGGAAAGCAGTGGAATCTCCCACAACTCACCAACATTCGGGCAAGGGGGGCGACGATAGCCGGGTGGTTGTACTGTAGATACCCCCAGGGCTTGGAGCAAAGGCCAAAGCCGCGCTTCCAATGGGCCCGGGTAAATGGATTAAAACCAATCTAAACCAGTGCCATCAATTTCTAACCGAACAAGCCTGAAAGGACACCTAATATGGTTCTGATCGAAGAGTTCTGAGAACACTTTCTGAGAGGGGGGTTCTTGTTTGCGGATTTCCAATTTAGCCCTCATGCACCCATCGTGTACCTATAGGTACTCGCCTTAGTTGTTGAGTGACCCACTGAACTAGTTTCTGGGGCTGACTATGTTCAGTGGAAAATTCATAGGGGTCGGTTCCCAATTTTTTGTCGATCATTGTTCACAACATATCACTCCCCGCTTTTTCCTGTCGGTTGAGAATTGAGAATCTGGAAAGGATCCCTTGGACGCCCCTAATTACCCAGTCCTCCCGGTTACTTTTTGGGCAGGCCGGCAGGCCAGGTGGTTGTTGCCACTAGGGTTTCCCCTAACTGGAAGTGGGTTAGACTTGCACGCGGTCGATCTCCTGGAAGTACTCCTTGATGCGGATTCGCCCCTCCACCACCTGTCAGGCTATCTCCCAAGCACCCTTCTCGCTTCAGTGGAGCTAAAAACCGTCTGACCACTAACACGGTCAACCGAAAAGCGGAAACTCAAGGATTGAGTCTTTCAAGGACACACCCATTCTACGGTTTCAGTTGGGCATGTCATAGTGTTTCCCCTCTTCCGTGGAGCTGCAACGGTAGGGAATGATGATGATTCTCTGAATACATGTGTATATATATATATATATGTATACATAAATATATATATATATATCCTAGATGTGTATATATATATATGGTCCCGTGTTCCGTACCCCCCCCCCCCATATGGTATGGGTCCCCCAGGACCCCCCCCCCCCCCCCGGCCCGAGACCCCGAGACCCCGAGCCCCCGAGCCCCCGGATCCTGGCACCTACGGTCCCACCCCCACCCCGACCCCTTGAACTCGCACCCCGACACCCCGGCACCCCCACACCAGGACAATCCAACCCGCAACCAATCATAAACCAACCCTAAACTAACCCTAAACCAACCCTAAATACACCCTAAACTAAACCAACCCCCCCAAACCCTAAACCGTAGACCTCTGGTTTAA